TCCTCTCCCATCCCCCGGGGTCCATTTAAGCCCACACCAACTGCTTTGGTGACTCCATCCAGCCCCTTTGTTCTCTGCCATCCCCTTCTTCTTTTGCCCTCAATTTTTCCCAGCATCAGGAACTTCTCAAGGGAGTCCTTCCTTCTCATTAGGTGGCCAAAGTATTTGAGTTTCCTCTTCAGGATCTGGTTTTCTAAAGAGCAGTCAGGGTTGATCTCCTCTAGGACTGACCAATTTGATTGCCTTGCAGTCCCAGGGATTTGCATTTTTGTTCCATATGGTTTACTGATTACATATTGAATAGTACTGTTAGTACTCGTAACCTTTAATTCGGAATGGTACTTCTAACAGTAGTAACGCTAATAGTAATTGTTATTGTTATTAGTAATTGTTATTACAATCATCAACATTTTTTCCTCCTCTGGCCTTTTCTCTGTTCCCAGATTCAAGTGATCAGTTTTGTCACAGAACAGAACTGGGATTCCCTAGAGGTCTTTGATGGAGGGGACAATACAGCCACCATGTTGGGCAGCTTCTCAGGTAAGACCTGGAGATACCATAGAAAGGGCTGTGACTTCTTACCTGTCAGATATTTATTTTCAATAAATAATTACTATAAGCTGCCCAGAGTCACATAAGTGAGATGGGTAGCTACATAAGTCAAATAAAAAAAATCAACATTGAGGGCAGGGCATTTAGGGTTGAAACCAGAGTTGGCTTCAGAGTTGGTTTTCTCAAGAGAAAGAAACCAACATCCAGGGATGTAGGAGAAGATCAGCATAGGGGCAGAATTAAACACATCATCAGCTTAGACTCTTTACATTGACACAAATGGTCTAAGTCCAACCCGTCTTGCATTCCATTGACCTCTATCTGGCACTGATTCAGATTTGAACTTTAGTGTTCTGACGTAGGCTTCCTGATACAGTAAAAAGCAGGCGCTTAGTCCCAGAAACCCCCTTTTTATTTCAAAGGCCGTGAATTAAGTTCATTCACAGCCCGTGATGAGTCTGTAGTCTGTCACATGCCTTTGCTCCTCCTTTATGTCCTATGGGAGGGGCCAATCACCTCCAAGCCTTACTCCCGAGTTGACCCTTTTGCTTTAACTGTTCTTACCTTCTGGCAGCTCTGCGCATGCACACATTGGGAACAGGCGCCCCTTGTTCCTCTGCCTTGCTGATGTCTCACTCCAGAGGTTCTGGAGGTAGCACATAACTCCCAGACGGCCCTGGCCCCCTCTCTGCCTCTGATGCAGAGCCCTCATCCGAGCCGTCCCCAGACTCCAGGACTGGCCCATGTTCCTCCCCATCCTTCTCACTGTCCAACTCTGCAGGCCGCTGGCAGACGACAACATTTAGTTGACCAGATTCTTGTGCAGAGACTTAAGCAATAAATCTTTCTGGATTGCAGCTTAATACATGTTCCTGATCATTTGTGCCCAAAAGAGGAGGGTAATGATAGAAAACCAGTCTTTGCACTGCCACTTCTGTTCTTCAGTTGAGCATCTAAGATCAGTTCTTTAATAAACTTGAAAGAAGAGTGGGGGGTCACAGGGAAGTCTGGGATGGGCAAACCAGATGCCCCGGCCTCCCAGTCACCCTCATTTCCCAAAATTCACAAAGTCATAAAATCTTCAGATGGCAAAATATAAATTGTATTAATGCATGAGATGTCAGTATTTACACAGCAATTTAATTCGATATTTGTCTTCACGCCACATGATCCATAACATGTCTAAATTCTTGGATAAGATTATTGTGAGATAGGGAGAGAGAGGGAGGGAGGGATTATAGTATTAGTGTAATTTAGCTTCAGACAACCAGTCACAAATATTGGGTGTTGGGGTGCTGTTTGTCTCATTACACCCATGTCAGTCACATGTGTGACAGTGGCAGAGTATAAACACCAGTGTCATGCTGTTCCTAGAAGCAGCGTTGCTTTGCATATATCTAATTCCTTGCTTGCCTTGCAAGAAATTGTGAAGCAGGAAGTATGAAATAATAGAAGATTCCCGCAGGATGAAGGACAGCCTTGTCAGTATGTGTGAACAAGAAAGAGAAAGAGAGACTGCTAGGTAGGCAGGGAACAAAAGGATGACTAATCATAACAAATACTGCTCCATAAAGGAAACTGCTAGCAAATTGCATGGCTACAATGTGGTATAAGAAGAGGCAAGTGACATATCTGAAAAATGTAAGTGGTATATAAAAGAAGACATGGTCTATTTAGGTGCAAGGAACCAGGGATGGCACAGTGAGTTACTCAGTCTGGTTTTCTATTGTTACCCTCCTCTGTCAGACACAAAAGATCAGGACCAGAGGTGGGTTGCTCCCGGTTCAGCCCGGTTTGGCCGAAACAGTAGTGGCGGCAGTGGGAGGCTCTGCCCACCCACCTGGACGCTTCTGTGCATGTGTAGCGAGCAAGAGTGAATCAGTAGTAAACTGCTTAGCAACCCACCACTGATCAGGACCATACATTAAGCTTCAGTTCAGAAAGATTTATTGCTCAAGCCTATGCACAAGAGTCTAATTTCTTTATGATTCCTTGCCTATAGACAGGAGTCTTGCCAGAGTAAAGCACTATCAAACATATCATATGAATGATCAAGGAGGGTTCCATCTGGACCTCTTTCTGCATACCAGGGATTCAAGGCTGATTTGCCTTTTAGCTCCTCCTAAAGGGAAAGAACTCCTCCTACCTGAGACTTAGTTTCAGATTCCACCAGATGGTGCTTCCTTCTGCTTCTCACTTATTTTTATTTGCATCGATTGACAAAGCTTTCAAGTATATGAATTGTTCAGACTTTTAAAATTCATCTAGAGCAGGGCTGTCAAACTCCTGGCCTGCAGGCTGGATGCGTCACACACTGGCCACATCCACACCCAGTTTAGTGTGTTGGAAGAAATGTCCTTCTGGGTTCAGTTCCAAGAAGGGAAAAAGACACTGGAAACATGGAGGCTGCTTGGAAAAATGGTTTAATGGTAGACAGGACCACATGCCTTGGAGCTCCTAGGTGAAAAGGGGTGAAGATACTGAGAGTCCCTGAGTTTTATACCCTCTCCTGGGCCCCACTTCCTGTTCCTGTCCCTTTGTAAGGAATGTATTCTGATTGGTTGTCAGATTCCCAGGGGACGAGGGGGGGTTTCTTAACTAACTTTGTAGGCTGTCCTGAGACCCAAGCTTTTTTGCCTTGCTGGCTGATACAGTCTTCCCAGGTGCCATGTAGGAAGACGGGTGGAGGGTTAATCCTATCTTTGCTATGTAGAACAGACTGGCCAAGGCCTTAATGGCCCATTGAGAAAAGTGGTAAGGGGGAGGCAGGAAGCTTTAGGGAGCTGCTTTGTCTTTAAAAACATGTTTCTCCTTTACTCATCCAGAGAAATATAATATTCTGCCTTTTTAATATTTCCTACAATATTTCATTTTTCTAGGAGAGGGAGGGGTGGTGTTAACTTCCTACAAGTGAAAGAGAAAAAAAATATCACTACATCACATGACGCTACTGTAATGGCCTGAGTTTGACATCCCTGATCTCGAGCAATGTATCTCAACCTGGGCAATTTGAAGATGTCTGAACTTCACTCCCAGAATTCCTGAGCCAACATGTCAGGATCCTCTCCTAGCACTCTAAAACATGTCTTCTGATTGATTCCTTCCTCTTGTCTCTTTCTCCCCACGCCACCCCTCATTAGGTACCACTGTCCCTGCCTTGCTCAACAGTACCTCTAATCAGCTGTATTTGCACTTCTACTCTGACATCAGTGTCTCTGCTGCTGGATTTCACCTGGAGTACAAAAGTAAGCTCATTTCAGTGCAGTGCCGATTGTTTAGATTGTGTGTGCTGAGTTGTGGTCATTATGCAAATGGAAGATGTGCCATATCCCACTTCTGATGCATCCTAGATTCAATAAATCCAAGCAACTGGAAGAAAGAGATGGGACATGCAATTAGTGACATAAATTCTCAGAGAAATGCCTTGAGTGGGATCTAGAACAGTTTGGATTTAAATCAACTGACTACAGAACCTAGAAATTAATCCAAAACGTGTTACAACTGGAGGAGGCCATTAAGCCCAAATCCCAGATTAGTGCAGGAATCCAACTTCCCAAATCCAGTGTCCCAAATAAATGACTCTCTAACTTCAAGGTAGGGACACGGTAGCTCAGTGGCTAAGATGCTGAGCTTGTCAATCAGAAAGGTCAGCAGTTTGGCGGTTCAAATTCCTAGCACCGTGTAACAGAGTGAGCTTCCATTACTTGTTGCAGCTTCTGCCAACCTAGCAGTTTGAAAGCATTTAAAAAATGCAAGTAGAAAAACAGGAACCACCTTTGGTGGGAATGTAACAGCTTTCCGTGCACCTTTGGCATTTAGTCATGCCAGCCACATGACCGCGGAGACATCTTCAGACAGCGCTGGCTCTTCATCTCTTTTAAACAGAGATGAGCACTGCCCCCTAGAGTCAGGAACGACTAGCACATACGTGCAAAGGGAACCTTTACCTTTATTAAGCCTAATTCCCAGATTAGTGCAGGAATCCAACTTCACAAATCCAGTGTCCCAAATGAATGACATGTCCCATTGAATGAAAGACTACAACCTTCCTGGGCAGCTAGTACTTCTGAATGTGCAATTGTTATTGAAATCTGCCATCTTGTAATTTAAATCCTTTATTTCATGCCCAAGATTTTGGAATAATAATATCTTGGCTACCTTCGATAGTACATCCCTTCGAGTTTTTCCAAAACAATACCATATTGTTTTAGTTTCTTTTCTCAAAGGTAAATATACCTATTCTCTTTATCTCCTCCATGTAGAAATTAGGCTCTGATCCAACGGTGGGATTCAAATAATTTAATAACCGGTTCTCTGCCCTAATGATTTCTTCCAACAACCAGTTCACGAAACTGCTCAGAAAGTTAACAACCGGTTCTCCCGAAGTGGTGCAAACTGGCTGAATCCCACCACTGCTCTGATCTCTTGTTCATACTCACTGACCTTCCCTTGACCAGTTCCAGTTTTCCTGAAAAGAAAAAGCAAAGTACTCAGTACTGGGCACAGGATTATAGGTACGGCGTGTCCAGGATCAAATAGTAGAAAATTGTAAGGGGAAAAATCCACACCCCAAGTCTTCTCCACTTCTCACCAACATCTGAATACTATTCGATTGAGGGAGGGCATTTTCTACACTGGGGCCAAATTTCTGATGGGATGTCATGTTGGGATTTCTGAGATTGAGAGGACTGTGCTGCCCACAGCATCTAGGTAAAATTGCTACATCCATTATGGAGGATTAGTTTTTTTGTACCCATTTGTTATTCCTTTTCAGGCCTTAAATAAAGACTTAAATCCCTCCTTAATATACCTGAGTAGAAAGAATATTCTTCACCATCTTTCTCTAACCTGTTTGAGTTTGTTGGAAAACATTCAAATGATAGTGCTATTATTTCCTGTGGTTTGCAAATTGTACTTTTGTTGATCCATATAGTCCTTTAAAGGAACCTTATTTTAAAAATTATGGAGCTTGAAATGGATCATAAAACATCTTTCCTTGTGTACAATAGCCAATCTTGCTTTTTTTTTTTTAGAAAAAAAAGGTTATTGATTTTTCAAACATCACTTAATGTTTTTGTCAATACGTACACTATTGTGTAATGATTATATGCAATGGTTGTCTCCCTGTTAGCAAATACTTCTTCTCTGAATTAAAATTCAAACTATGCTTTTCCATCCCCATAAGATTTATGCCTGAGATTTACCAGGTAGACACCAAAGATGGAGCTAGTTAATTAGGGATGCTAGAGATTGATCGAAGGTTTCATGCATTTTCTCTGCTATCGAACTATGGATGCTGTTTAAAGATTTATCTTGTCTGGTCATAAAACCGATCCTTTCATTACTAGCTTTACTGATTGGCATTAGTTTTTCATGGCCTTAGGCTAAAGGATTTGTGAAGTAATTGAAGACAGGAAGTGCGAGTGGAAGAGCTAAATCTTCTTTAGAATTGGCCTCTGAACTCTCCCCTTTTAAAAAGATTTTGCTAGCGTTAGAGTACTGGCTTAGGAATTTTGAGACTTAAAGTCTACAAGTTGTAAAGTTGCCATAGTTGCCCACCTCTGCATTAACATGACAGTTAGAAACAAACTGGAGCGCTTAAAGCTCTATACAAATGAGTTAAAACTATATATAAATTTTAATATTTGAGGGACTGCCACAAAGTCGAGAGAGTCAAACTATTTTCCAAAGCACCTGAAGGCAAGACAAGAAACAATGGATGGAAAGAAACCAAGGAGAGAAGCAACCTAGAACTAAGGAGAAATTTCCTAATGGTGAGAACAATCAATCAGTGGAATAGTCTTGCTTTCACAAGGTGCCTCAACACTGGAGGCTTTTAAGAAGAGACTGGAGAGCCATTTTTTTCTGAAATGGTACAGGTCTCTAACCTAACTCTGTTATTTATGAGTTATGGTCTTTCTCCAAAGTCTTTTCTAGCAGAGTCTTTAAGCGCTTTCTTTACAAAGAAATTGGAGAAGAAACCATATCCCCTATCCTATCCTACATGCCATAATCTCTCCCCATCGAGTGCTGATCAGGGCAGGATGTAGAATTCAGGAAAGGTAGGTAAAAGAATCCATGTGACCTTGAACCAAGCACTTCAACAATTTCATGTGTTGACTCAATCAAACTGAATGTCAGCGTTCCAATTAACATCCAAAATTAAATCTGAGTCTGAGGCAAAGTGTTCCTCAAAGTTGCAATTTATTAAGAGAGCCATGTTGGCACATCTGTGAAAACCCAAATCTGAAAGCTTCCCGGGTTTTCCCACCCAGTTGAAAGTTCATGATCTTTTCCCACACCCACAAGTCCATCACATGCTCCAATCACCCACTGCCATGCTGGCAGTTCCACCCATCTAGTTCCGGTCAGGTGCAGAGGTGTAAAGGCAAAGGATGACCTTGGACTCTAGGAGTTTTATTTTGACAACATCACATTCTACTCCTTACTATTCCCCCTCCCAATTCCCCACTAATGAAACAGCATAGTAAAATAATAGAGAGTGTGGCAGGCCAAAGATCCAGAAAGGAATATGACTGCAGGCCTGATACTGAAGCAAAGCTGCATGGTATAGTCTATGCACTATATCCCTGCCACAGTCAGGCTGAGGCCATCAGAACAGATGGTCCTTGTTGGGCCCTGCCAGTCAGCTTCGGAAGGAAGTCCCATGGTGGAAAAAACAACAGCAGTGTCCTTTTTCATTCCACCAGAGAAGATCATCAGCATGTGTGATATATTAATTTGCACTGGGACTGTACACATGCATTACATGGGGGAGTAATCTGAATTTGGAGACACAACATATTTAAATGTAGAATTAGTGGGGCTGGATTGAATTCTTGAAGCTTCCGTCATGGGCTAAATAATAGTCTGGTGATTTTAATGCACTTTAATTGGGATTCTGCCAAATTGAAGGAAAGCTTTATTCTTTTTTAAGCCCACAGTTCTGCCATCATCTTCCAGTTAGTTGATTTCTGCAAAACATTCAATAACGTTTCTTAAGAGATTCTCATAAATAAGATAACAAAGTGAGCTGGACTGTGCTGCTACTACTAGATGGAGAAAAGCTGACCGAGCAAACATTCAGAAGTGTATATCAATGGCTCTTCATCAAATAAGGGTGAAATATACCATTCTAGGGCTTGTGCAATTCAACATATGTCATGGATGAGAGGTTAGAAAATAACAACAGAAAGTACTCTGTTTCTCCAAAAATAAGACCTCCCTGGATAATAAGCCCAATTGGGCTTTTGAGAGCATGCACTAAAATAAGCTCTCCCCTGAAAATAAGCCCTCCCTGAAAACTATTTAAATGCATGCGCAGCTGGCCCCTGGTTGCTTGTCTGGTTCCTTGCCACACAAACAACATGAGGTGAGAAGGTGAGGCTGGAGGGGGGGAAGGGAGGGGGAACATGCCCCGTGAACCCCACAAGTATTCCTCAAAGTTCCAATTTTATTAAGGGAGCCATGTTGGCACATCTGGAAAAACCCGAATCTGAAAGCTTCCTGGGTTTTCCCACCCAGTTGAAAGTTCAAGATCTTGCCCCCATACCCACAAGTCCATCAGATGCTCCAATCGCCCACTGCCATGCTGGCAGTTCCACCCATCCAGTTCTGATCAGATGCACAGGTGCAAAGACAAAGGATGACCTTGGCTTTCTAGAAAGAATGTAGTTATGGCTACATAGCATCTAACTCCATGCTCTCCTCCCTCCCATTTC